AACTTCACTTTAACAAACGTTAATTACTGTTGGACTTGTCGGCCAGAGAGCGTCACCTAAAATCTCTCTTTTCTGAGGGCTTAAAAAAAATATGAGACTTCTCTCCAGTTTACCTCTCTCCACTATCTCTCCACTTTAATAGAATTTATTTTATATACTCACAAAGGTATTACCAAAAAGCACAAGATCACAACTTATGCTCCCTCCTCTTTATGCTTTGTAATTATCCCGACACATTGCTGACACCAAAAAGGAAAGGTCTGTTTTCTTTTCAACCCCACACACACACACAAACACACACACACACACACACACACACAAACACAAACACACACACAGAGGTTCAGACACAATTACACAATTACACTTAAACACACAAACCAGCTGTGCCGATGATTAACCCAGATGTGGTCTCACCTTTCTGAGTTCTGAACCTGAACTAGAGGTGATGCAGCAAAGTGAAACCAAATGGTGCCGAACAGAACAAACTAAGGCCAGCTGGCAACAATACGATCCAACATGATGTCTGCACATACACGTATGTCTAACATGCTAAAACAGATTTACTTATTTATTCTCCTCTTGCTTATTAAATGGGAACGTTTATGACATTTATCTACAGTTTGTTTTCAGTGAAACTTATATACTTAATATAATTATTATTATTAACATTGAACCATGAACACTTATCATAAGCTGAAATTAAAACTAAATGTTTACAGTAACACTTTCTATTTCAGTGTCCAGAGGAGTCTGACATCTGGTTGTTAAAGGAAGGCTCGCCATTCATCTGTGACAACATGTGAGCCTCTTCTTACATGATGTTGGTCGGCAACAGGTCTTCTCTTGAGCGATCTCTCACCACCCTGACAAGGAGTTTTCTTGGTGTAATTATGTTGTGTTTTTGTGCTAAACTGCAAATTGTTCTAAATTCATACAGATTGTTCAGAAAGTGAAGAAACATAAATAAAAGTTGTTTTCCTGCGCAAAATGTGTGTCACTTTACTTAAAGCAAACAATTACATGTTATAAGGTCTTATAATTAGTTCATATGGTATTATGTCCACCTGTAATATATTATACAGGGATGGACATTTTAACACTTTACTTAAAGCAAACAAAGACACACTATATAACATTAAACATTACTATAAGCTATTATTCCATTTTATATCACTAATTCTAAATGGTGACTAAAGTGTATTCATAACGAGGCAGAGTCGGTGGTTATAATGTGTGATGGAACGTGGTCGGAGATTCTTGCCGCACATTGATATAAACTGGTATTAATATTAGTTATAAAACATTAAATCAAAAGGTCATAATACATTATGAACTTTGCTATAGCGCCTAATGCATGTTTGTAAGTGATTACAACAACTATTATAATGTCTTATGGACGCATTATATCGTGTTATAAATATATGCATAAGTCATTATAAATATCTTTTTTATTCATGTGTTGGTTAAACTTTTTATGACGCCCATGTCTTTAATGCTTTATAAACATACTTTTAATTAATAATACTGTGCTTATAGTAATGTATGCTTATAGTTATAAGCATAAATAGTCATATTTCTTACAATAACAATTATCATAACATTTTATAAGCATTTTGACTTTTAAGGTCAAGTATTTTTGCTGGTTACTTATTGACATTCCTTTTGGCAAAGATTAGAGGGAACTATAATTATCACTTTGATTATAATGGGTTTTAAAATAGTTATAATGAATTTACAGCTATGATAATTGCGCTGAAGTGTGAGAATTGGTACCAGTGTTTTCATTCAACGCTGCAACTGGTGTGTCTCTGAATAGCTGCCTCTGTGATTATAAAATAAAACGCGTCTCTACTCTGTTGTGGTTCAGTATATCAGCGTAGACACTTTACAACTTACAATGAATTCAGGCTAACTGTTATTTTTGCCCTGCTAAGCATCATTTAAAACCTCTGCTTCCATCTTCAGTTAAATGTCTATATTATTAACAAGCATAAACACACATTTACAATGAGGAGAACAAACTGCATGTCACAAAATCCCACACTAAAACAAGCATATAAAGCAAATGCAGTTTCAGTGGATTATAATGGTACCCAATTTATTGTCAAGAGATAAGTATCAATGTGCTTTATTACTATAATTTCCTTAAATCCCTCTCATAAAATATAAAGGGAGTGAAGCCTGAACTCCAGATATGATCCTCATTCAGGAGGTACTGTATATTTAAGTTGACTGTACTCTCTCTGTGGGTTACTCATCATTAGCCTACAGACACTCTCTGTTAAACTGCCATACATTATCATAGCAGTATAAACACTTTCTGTAGTGTAAATATATCCCTTGGCTTGCACTGCAGGTGCCAGAAAGAGATTAAAGCATATGAACTGTATGAAATCTGAACTATAAAACTACAGCCATTAAAACTCCTCAGTGTGTATAAGACTTGGTTGAATTACATGGGATTTGGAAGACAATTTAGATGTCAGTCTAACAAGTTCTGCAACAAATTCCACCATCTTCTTACAATTTGTTTTTAAACTAAGACAAGTTCTACAAAGCCTGGACTGTTTCAATTTGTCATTTTAGCACAAGTCACCGGTGAAAACACATATTACATGTTTCAAGATTATCCAGAGAATGCATTTAAGTTGGTTTAATTGTGTGAAGAGCATGCTAGAAAAAGTCTGGACAGATTTACGTCAAATTTATGAATTTGACATCTGCCTTCAGCTAAAAACATGTTACATGTCTAGGGGAGGAGGTGTCCTGCATGAGCATGTTAAGATGTGTTTGCACGCAAGCAGATATGTGAAAGTATACACACGTGTTCTTACAGTAACTATTGGGGCCCCCCAAGATATTACAATCACCCATCAAACACATGTTCCTCTACATCTGTCTGCTCCAAACCAAGCCACAAATACTGACAGACACACAGAGGGCATGAGGTTATGATGAAGTCCAACAGATTTCTGCTTTACTTCAAACACACACCTGACAGAGTGTCTGCAGCTGAAATCTGCTCTGGTCAGTGTCCACAAGATACAGACTCAAACACAGATTTGACTTTTGTAAAATGATTACAATCTCTGCCTATAATGTAACAGTAGATCCCAAGTCTCTGACTTCAGCTCACTTGGCCATTCAGTTCAGAAAAGTTACAAAAATTGTTGGATGCTGACATGAATAAGAACCAGAGTTTATAATAACAACGGTTATTTCATTGTTTTTATATTGGTGGGGTGGTAATGGTGCAGTGGATAAGACACATACCTCTGGTGTGGAAGACCAGGGTTCAATTCCCACTGCAACATCCACCAACGTGTCCCTGAGCAAGACACTTAACCTATAGTTGCTCCAGAGGTGTGCGACCTCTGACATATATAAGAATTGTAAGTTGCTTTGGATAAAAGCGTCAGCTAAATGATAAATTAATATATCATGAACCCAGACTGAAACCACTGATTTAGAGTGGAATCACGAAACAGAGCCACCAGTCTCTCTTTATCTACTGTCAGTCAAATCACAGCTTTGATGAAGTATCTTCTGCAGAATGTTGGGGTCACAGTGCAAACGCCTCCCAGCAGCAGTAAATTTCGCTTCCACTGTACATCAAACTATCTGACAATCCCACCACCCCTCCGCCCATCTCCCTCTAAAATCCCCCATCTCCTCCCAAATCACTCATGTGCAACAGTACGGAAAGAGCTACATCACCGGCCTCACAAGAGACTGTTTCCCGACTGTTAACAAGTCTGTACAAGTGTGTGTGTGTGTGTGTATGTATATAAAACGGATGGAACATATAACATATAATCTATGTGTGCGTGTGTGTGTACATGCACATAGAACAAGACAAAACAGACAGACAAATATTTATAGGTGGATTTATAGCTTATATATGACTGTTCATGCTAAAGTGTGTGTCTATATGACTCATGGCAGATTTGACAGTAATGAAGGCTTATTGGAAAATCCTACACAGCCTGCAGGAAGCTACACACACACAAATGAAATTCAAACACACCTACCTGCATGTGCTCCTGCAATTGACTTATACACTGTACACAAGTTACACACACATTCACCCATATTATTAAATTAATCACATACTGCCCACTTCCACCTCTCATGAGAGATTGGAAACTGGAAATTCACACAGACCCACACGCACACAAACTCTACAAGTTCCTTCTTGTTATTTGGCTCCAACAATAGAAACTAAATAAAGGACAGAAAGTTTATTCGTTGTTGTAATCAGAAAATACGTCTTTCTCTCCATCTTCATCCTCTCCACCTCCAGCTGTTACATTTGCAAAAAACTAAACAAACACACTGAGAAAAACAACAATTGAACTGTCACATCCTGTCCTACTTCATTTGGTTTTCTGCCTGAGACTTGACACCAACGGCATGAACTTGACTTGAAAAAGTTACTTGGAAGATGTTGCAGATTAGTGCTTGAAAGTATTTTTTCATTTCATGCATTCAAATGTTTTCCTGCTTAAAAACTCAGGTTTTCTCTCTCATCTCTTACTTTTTTTTGTCTCAGTAGGTTCATGTGTTGTAACAAGTATCTTATTTGTTTTACAGGTTTGTGTACAGGTATTTATCATGTCCTGATGAGACCCGACAGCTCTGGCACAGAATGAAACCACAGCCAAGAATAATTGAGACCCTTTTGTTTCAGATCAGAGCTTTATGAATTCTGCAATGTGATTTTTGCCGTGTGTTTCAACTTGTGTGACACGTATATGTGTGTGTTGGAGCAGGTAGATGTGTCTGAGTCACCATAATAGCATTTCTATAACCTGTGGTGTGGTGGATTTCCTTTCATCTTTGTTCAGTCGAGGACACAAACACACACAAATGCTACAAAATCCAGTCATAACAATGTGGCTGTGAGTCACGGAGGTGCAGTCTGATTCCCTGATTGTGTGTGTGAGTGTGTGATATTCATTGATCTTTCGAAGGGTGGGTACAACTTTGTGTCTTACTTGTAGGGGTCGTTGGGGTCCTCTGCGTTGCAGGCCTCAGCGTGTCCGTTACACACACAGCGTCCTCCAATACTGATGTCTTTGATACTGTAGTAATACTATAAAATAAAAACAATACACAGCATGAGTTATTTTCATCAATATGTAGTCATATTTAATGTTTAGTTAAAGGAATAGTTATAAATTTTGGTGAAATATGCTTATTCGCTTTCTTGCCCATAGTTAGATGAAAACACTGACAGCTCAGTGCAAAGGTAACACGATATCCGCCTACCAACACCTCTAAAGCTCACTAATTTACACGTTACATCTTGTTTGTAAAATACTGGTAGGCAGATTAAAGGGTGGTATAAATCCTCTTATTTAACGCTCAACAGGAATGTAAATAACCCATATGTCACAAAATGTTGAACCATTTTAAAGACGTTTATTTATATAGACAGATTTATGTTTACTCTGGGGACAGAAAGCGGACCTGCCCCAGACGACCTGAGAGGTCTGGATGGTTCATAACGTTGCAGAAGAACAGAAATGTATTTCGGCCCAAAACCATTCAGTGCTTTATAAACCAACAGCAGTACTTTGAAATCAATTCTGTGACAGACAGGAAGCAAGTGTAAAGAACTCAGAACTAGAGTGATGAGATCCACTTTTTTGGTCTCAGAGAGGACTTGAGCAGCAGTGTTCTGATTCAGCTGCAGCTGTCTGATTGATTTTTTAGGGAGACCTGTTTTTCTTTGTGCAAGTGGTGTCACAGTATTCTACTGATTCCACTACAGCAGGCGTCAATGAGCCAAGATTTGCAGGAACACTTTGGCAAAGGCAGAAAAAAACACTGATTGCTAGTGAACATGGATGTAAACAATGCTGGATTCAAACTTTGAAGCTTTGCAAAGGTTTTATGAGGAAGAAATGGGATCAATCATATTACTGAGACCTCAAGGACACACAAAATGCATTTTGGTGAGTTACTCTCAATATAAATACGACCTGTTTGTTCACAAGAGCATACATTTATTAAATATATTTGGAAAGATTAGACACATTTTTTAAGTTAACTGACTGATCTCTTTAACTCTACTAGACCCACCAAGGGACCATCTAATGTGCATTTTGGAAAATGCTTATTGGTTATTGTTGCCGGGGGTTAGATGAGAAGATTGATACCATTCTTATGTCACTGGATTAAGTATGGAAACGTTAAGTCAAGTCATGTTTAATCTGTACACAAACAAATATGTAAAAATAACAATTTGTGGTTTTAGAGGGAGTTCCAATCTCAGCGAGAAAGTAAATAAAAGTATTTCCAAAAAAGGCCGAACCATTCCTTTTATATTCTAAAGAAAGTTATAATGTTGCAAAAACATTGCCAAATATATGAATTTGAGACACAAAGACAGGTGCATATTTTTCATCCTGCAGCCATAAAACTTATTTTCCTTAATTAAAACCTCATACAGCTTCAATCAAGTTAAGTTAAAGCATATACAGAATATTCAGAACATTCATATATGTATATAGATGTGTGATTGTGTGTATAAAATGGTTTTGGACTTTAAAGCTATTTAAAGGAAAGGTTTCGGGAATGCAAAACTTTTCAAATACACTAATCCATTGCCTACAAGATGATCACTTTGTTGCATTGTCTTACCCTGCGGGTGACAGTGGGGTCACGGAGCGCTTTGCCCATCAGGTGTCCCAGCAGCGTGTTGGTTCTCAGGAAGCGAAGCCTGATGTGGGTGGCCTTGGTGAACTCCCTCAGCACTGGTGAGTAGGAGAAGTTCATCGCCCCGGGCCGACCGTTCACCAAGGACACCACGACCTGGGAGAGGTGGGGAGGAGGACAACAGCATTATCAGCTAACTAACAAGTGTTAGGAATAGATACATAACAGCCTGGGAAAGTCCTGCAAACATAAGATAAAGAAAAGCAGCAAATCTGTACATTTGCTACATACGCTTTAAACATTTTGTTGTAATTGTTAAGTTTTGCAAAAGTTATTGTTGTATAATTTTACTGTCGACTGAATAATTGTTTGAGCTCTACAGTTATGGACATTAAATCAATATATTTTATCCGCAAACACTCACCTCTCCATTTTCCAGCGGGACTATACGTGAGTATTCGGTAGTGCAAATGACGTCGTCATCATTGTTGATCCTCTCAATGGTCCTCTGTCCAAAACGCTCAATACAATCTCTCTTGGAGGCTAGAGACACGCGCACACACAAACAAAAGAAAAGCTTGTAATCAGTTTTTAGCAAACATGTGAACATCGCCTCATGTTAAACCTGAAGAATGTCAACCATCTTGTGGCATTTTAATGATGCGTCTCAGTGTGATAATTACAAGAGGGTCTTGGTTTGGTGGTGGTTTTTGTTTACCCAAGAGGCCTCCTTAAATATACCTCAGCTGCATTTTCAGCTTCACAACAGCTGGAATGAAAATCATCAACACCCACTGACTACACTAAGCCTGTATAACTTAGTAACTTTTTAAGCATAACCTAATGGTCAAGCAAACTCTGATCTAAATCCAAACCTTTTATTAATCATTGAATCACTGAGGCTATTAAAATGTCACAATGTAATCACAAATTACCCCAAAATGACACATTTACAGGGACATGGGGGTGCTGTTTGAAAATTATTAGGAGAGAGGTGGTTTCATAAAAGTATTTTTTCTTTAGTGGATCAAGTTCTCTCCACACAGCGTATCATAGCGTAAACATAACTCTCTCCCCACCTCTAAACTTTTGGTACAATCCCTAAAATCTGTGGATATTTAGCATTTATTGCCGCCTGTCTTTCTGTGTTGTGTTTCAGGCGCTATATAAATAAAGATGAGTTGAGGATGATTCACTATTGTATGGCATTATTGGTGAAACCAATTAACCAGCATAAGTAAGTCAATGAAACTGTAGAACAGATCAAGGCAGACTAAGAAAGATCCTCCATATGTGGGGCAGTTTTGAGGTCAGTCATCATTTAACTTCACCTTATTTCAGTTCACCTCATTGTATAAACGTTGGTTGGTCATTCAGAGAAACCACCATCTGCCTTTAAGGAATAATCAAACTTTGAAATTGTGTTTGACAGTTTGAAACAAGACTTCAGCTTGTTTAAGTCACATTGTTTCTTCATGAGGACACAGCGTACATTCCTGGAATAGCTTCACTTTATCTCAGATTTTGTCCTTGACAAAGACAAAGATGGAAAAGACCACGAAAACAAGAGAAAGACGAGGAGGAGAGGGTGAATTTACATTTTATAATGTCAAGATGTGTGTGTGTGTGTGTACAGCTAACAGCTGCAGCAGTTCAAACTAAAACTGTCAAATACCTCTAGGATTTACAGCTTTGAGGCCAACACTAATTTACTCTGTACTATTTAGCTCACACACACACACACACACACACACACACGTATCTCCTATCCTCCGTCTGACTGTAAAACACTGTTGATTGACACGTGTTTCATACTGAAGGAGAGATAAGCTGCCTTTGTAAAATGCTGTCATTATGTGATTCTATAAAGTGTATCAACTTTTTTCCAAACTGCTCAAGAGCAGACTGCTATTTACATTTATTCATTTAGGCGCAAAGCAATTTACAATTGCTATACATGTTAGAGGTCATCTAGGGGTTAAGTGTCTTGCTCAGGGACACAGTGGTGTCTCACCGTGGGGAATTGACCCTGGGTCTCTCCCACCAAAGCCATGCGTCTTATCCACTGCCCCACCACCGCCCTAAAATACTTATTTGGATATTCCCAGCATTTATCTAATTTAACAAAGTTGTTTTTCTTATTAAACTGAATATTCAGGGATAAAAGGTAAAGGAACAGTTTGTCAGCACACAGAAAGTGATCCCAAGTTGAGCTGACAGTCGGCTCACTCTGCCCTGTTCTGGCACCAGAGCACCATTGATAAACTGTCTCTGGCTCATTTAACTTGACTTAATGTGCTTTGATTTCGGGGGTTCAAACTTGAGCTGATAATTAGTTCCAGTTAGCAGCATTCAGGTCAGCTGTCAAGGGCCATTGTCAGTCCATGGCTCATCATTTGTCACAGTCCAGGAACAGCCGGGCCAGATTAAGGAAGCTTCTGTTCAGAGAACGCTGTTTTTTCACAACAATGGCAGAACATGTTGGCCACCAGAACCCCCAGCACACTTTTAATTAAGCGTTAGGCAATTTAATAAAAGTAAAATCTGATGTGTCATCACTGGAATTTGTTCACCACAGTGCACAGAAATTAAAATATTCCTTGCAGAATCATCTACTAAAAATCACATCTGAAACCAGTGAATCTTGTGATTGGTTTCAGGCTGCAGACTTTTGCTTTACTTTGTCTGACTTTATCTTTAATTTTCAAAAAGAAAGGATTTAAAAATCCAGACCTTTCAGGCTCCTTGATTTGGTTTGAACATATTTAAATAGTCCCTGTGAATATACTGGTATATAGCATGCCTGCAGTAATGGATTCACCAGGCTGTGGTGTACTGTGACGTCTAATGAATTCACCTCAAGAGACACCTGGAGCAGCTTTCAATAATGCTAATTAATACATGGTCATTATCTGTTCTCTCTCTCACACACACACACAAAGGGGGTGTGGGTCTGCCTCATCTGTCTGCTCTCTTTTACTCGGGTGAACATCAAGCTGCAACCTGTTGGCAGAAATGCCTGGAATTCCCCTGCAGCCCACCTGGACTGACAGCTGCCATAGCCAATCAGCTGGCAGCTTCATGATGTGATGACCCCCTCCCCCCCAGACCTGACCAACAAACTAACCAACCAATCATTTGCCTGCCCCCAGGGATGCAGTTTAACTCTGAGATTAGAGGGAGAATTAAGCTGAACCCTGGGGGAGGTCAGGAAAGCATGAAGTGATGCTGATGGAATCCGACTGGGTTTGCTCCTTATAACATCTGGAGTTACACATACTGTATGTATGCATTGTATAGGTGAATATACATGTGTATGTGTGTCTCTACTCACAGGCAAAGAACTGCCAGGGTTGGTAAGTCTGCCCAAAGTCGATAGATCTCTCCAGTACCCAAAGGTCAGGACGGGGAGAGTTTGCGAACTTAATCAACACGTAGGCGACGTGGAAGAGCTGCAGAGACACAGAGAAGAAGAAATTCACATTATTCACAAATTCAAACATAGTTAACTTTATTTGTTTCTGAAAGGAAAAACAGGAAATTGATGGGGTGAAAAGAGAAAAGGAGAATACAAGACAAGCTAATCAAAGACACTATTCAATTGTGGTGAAAAAGAAAAAGCAAGCTGTCCCACCGACCGTGGCTGTGACCTGAACAGCTGACCTGGGAAACATCTCCCCTTTTAATAGACATTGCGTCAAAATCAGCTCCAGCACGTCTGAACTATTATGTCGTGTTACGCGCTATGTTACGAGTTATTACGAAAAAGCTGATTCCTGTCACTAATGAGCACCAGATGCTCCTCTATCGCATGCTCAGTTGGGATCTCTGGGTAACTTGTCATCCTTCATTCATTTCCTGAAAAGGCCCTGAAGCTGGTTAGAAGGCGATGACAAACTGCTCTCATGGGCAAAAAGCTGGACTGTTTTGTCTGTCAGACCTTGAAATCGCTCCCCAGTTGAAACAGAACACACTGAAATAACACAATGGACCACATAATAACATTATCACTAATCACAAACACCTCATCTGTGTGCTAAGAGGCAGTGTTGAGAGCTCCTCTCTGAGTGCACCATATGATGATTTAAAGTTTATTTAAATAAAAGCGCATGATGCCAAAATATTTATTGATCCCATGATACCTTATAATAACTACTCATTCATGAAGGCATGTTTCACTATAGAGCAAGTGAAGAGGGAGGACTATCTGGAAAGAAACATTTCTACATGCAAAGCAGTTTTCTAACAACTTTGGTCAATTAAAAAATGAGGGTAAAAATGATTAGAAACATTTTTCTAAACATTTTAAAGATTAAGATTTAAGACCTTGATGTGAAACCTCCCTGGTTCGAGTTAGGCCAGGGATTTTTGTTGCATATTTTGCTCCCCATCTCTTTCACCCCTGCTTTTCCCCCATTATTTCACTACTGTTAAATAGGGCTTGGAGAAACAATAATTATTGCAATGTAATTTTCCTCTATTGAAATATAACAAATGTTCAATAAATGTTCGATAAAATTTATTTTAATCATGAGCAAATCAGCAGTTACTTTTTCTATTAAGATATTTATTTTATTGAGTAAAAAGGACTGGCGATTTTACTTAATTTTACTCATGCATACTTGTTGAAAAATAATTTAAACATTATAACTGTTTTGAAAATTCTACCTCAAATTTGTAAAATGAGAATAGTTTCAAACCACAATTAACTGTCAGGTTTCTTCAACTTTCACTCATGATTTGACATTTATCAGGACAATTATTGATATCAACTGATATTTAAATTTTTATCGTGATAACATTTTTGACCATATGACCCAGCCCTACTTAAATCTCATAAAACTACTTGCAAAAAACAAGATGGTACAGATGGTAGATTTTCCAGCATCCAGCTAACCTGCAGTAGGTTAGGAAACATTTCATACTCAACATGACGGCTCTAAGGAACATTTGATGACACCATATGACCCAAAGGGAGGAAGCAAAGACAGATGAGAGACATTTCACATAATTTTGAAACAACGCTTTTACACCACATGGGGATTTGTTGATTTGGGGATTGGGCGGGGGGAGGGGTTGCCTTTTAATTTGATAGTTGACAGCTGTAGAGATAGACAGGAAATGGCGGCGGAGTGGGGGCTATGACATGCAACAAATGTCTCTGGCTGAAACTGAACCGAGGACATTGTAGTTATGTGGTATGCAGCTTTTTCAACTTTTTTGTGCAGGCAATTTTTTGTCAGTATGTTGCATCACAAATACCAAAGGAACACTTTTACTGTCTTCAAAGTGTTTTCAGGAAACTTCTTGAGAGATTTCAGGCAAGTGGTACATTTCTGTTTATTAAAACTGTTTATTAAAACTGTTTATTAAAACTGTCCCTGTATTTACTGTGTTGTTCTCCTTTCAAGGACACAACAGTTTGAAGACGAGTTTCTGGGTTTCTGCATAGACAGGTGAATTTTCAGTCGCTGCATACAGTCCACATGCTCATAAATCTTGAGGTGTCAGTGCAAAGAACAGGACCAAGTTTGGGCAGATGACAACTTTGACAAAAAGTAGGTTATCATTTGAGCTCAAATCAAAACCAGCCAGCTGGTCTTTCTGTCGATGTTACAAGTTCAACATTTAGCTGGCCTTTGTCTCACCATCAGAGCATGAACACACACACTCTTTGATCATCCATCAGTGGAGTTCAGCCTGTGATCTCCAGACTTCCTTCTCTGACAGGCAGCTCTGTCAGAGGTGATGACAACACACACAGCACACAATCACATTCACACACTTATACACACATTAAGACAGAAATGCCAGAAGTGTGTGTTTCAGGCTGATGAATGACAGGAGGATAGAGGGATGGAGGACCTGAGGGACATGCCCAACCATTCACACTGTGAAAACAGAGGAAATTGTTTCTATTGATGGGTCAGTCTAACCTCTATATATACCTGTGTGTATTAGCATATTTGTGTGTGAACGTGTGTGTGTCTTAAAGAGATCTAAAGAACAGGAAACAGGAAGTGAGGCCTCTACACGTCCCTCAGGGGCCAAAGATATTGAAAGTAAAATCCAGAAGCATTCCTCCCTTTAAACCAAAGATGTTTCTAACTGAAAACACACGACTGAACATGCAGAGAAATCAGGTGATGTGCTCTGAACTTCAGCACTGATTCAGAGCTGCATGGCATTTTAGCAGTGACTGAAGGGAACCGTTATCACTTCGAGACAGAAAAACGTAAGCCAACAGAGCAAAATCTGAAGATTCTGTGACAGCAGTATAACGCTGAATGAAAAATCACCTCCAACATCGTTATTTGCTTCATATAGCCTTTGGTTATAAAGGCAACTATCCACTTTGCCTACATTTGCACTTGCAGGTCCTGTTACTAAGCTTTCCCTACATCAAGTACTTTTGGCCACATGTTTACATCAGAGACATTTCTGATTCCACGTTAAAACTCCCACATACCCACATGAATTAACTTGAGTCAAATCCCCATCTGAAATGGGCTTAACATGGAACAAGTGTTGTTTATATAATACTATACATATTTCAAGCTCAATAAACTTTAATTTAGATTGACTCTTTTGAGTCATTATATAGTCATTTCTATACATGAGGGAACATGAGGGTCGACCTGGGGAGGCAGCTCCAATTCCCCAGGGAGATCGTAGAAACTTCGCTTCGGCCAGACCTAATCATGTGGTCAGAGCCATGCAAGACCATCTTGTTGGTGGAGCTTACTGTCCCATGATAGGAGGGAATGGAGGCTGCCAACGAGCGGAAGCGTGCCAAGTAAGCAGACCTGGTAGAAGACTGCAGAGAGGCTGGCTGGAAAGAAGTGGGATGCAGGGGCTTTGTTGGGTCCTCAATGGTTCGCCTGCTCCGTGAAATGGGATGTATAGGAGCAGGGTGTCGAAAAGCCATTAAAGAACTGGCAGAGGAGGCAGAGAGGGGCAGCTTTTGGCTGTGGCTAAGGAGGAAGAATAGGGGATGGGGGCCAAGTAACACCTAGGGCATCAGCAGGGGGTGGCAGGGAGTGACCCCATGCCATCGCTCCGCCACCAGGAGATGTACTGGGGTTACAGGAGCGAAACATCCATGACTGGTGGTCCCCAGCTGATGACCCGTTTTATGCCCAAAGAGGTGGATCACACCTGCACAAAAGGCACCGGTGGAGGTGCGTCAGGCAGCAATGCCCAGCAGGTCGACCATCAGCCTGTATTTTTATAAATTTCTTTATATTGTCCGTATAATTTTTGATGAAATGATGAATCTAAAACCCCTAAGATGATGGATTTCTAAGAATGTGTTGGAATAAAGCATGGAATTTCACACAATAAAATAAAATAAAGAAACAAATAAATAAGATACAATGTGAATTATATAGTATATAGACACATCCATGACATACCAATCAAATAATCCAAAATATTTACAATATACAGAGATAGCCACAGCTCATATTTATTTCTCTCAGCAGATTTTTATTTCAAATCAGGACAAACAGGGCAGAGTCAGGTGTGTGATTGACTGTTGCTTTGGTCTGAATTAGTGGAGAGCCAGTCACATCAATGCTTCCGCCCTGCTCAAGCTGAAGTTTAAAAATGAATTATTATACAATATTATTATTATATTTTATTCATATAATTACATCATTTCACAGCAACTTATTTATCTATAAAGAAAAGAAGATGATCAGTAGATTAATTAACGAAAAAGATTATTAGTTGCAGCCTTAATGGGAAATGCAGTGTCGATTATTAGAATCCCAAGTTCTAGTAAACCCACTCTGTGAGAAAAGTCTCAACCATGGCTACTCTGGGTAATCTGACACTGAGAAATTGAAATGAAACCGTCACATAGCACCTGTTGCCACACTGATAAATGCTATATGTTGATGTACCGGTAAACGTGTGAACTGCCCTCCTAACCACAATAAAATGCAAAACTAAACCATTGCACTACTCTGTTTCTCTCTCTCAGCTGTCTGTCTCCAGCTCTCGGTGGGAGTCAGTCTGTGGCCTGGTCGAAACACACACACACACAAACACACACACATTCAACAAAAGTTTTGCTGACTCCCTTTGCCACCAACACACACCCACACCTCGACAGGATTTATGGATTAGTGGAGGCCTCCCAGGTCAGCCTCCCTGAATTGCCTGTCAATCCCATCAATCAGACGGCTGTTACCATGGCAACTGGCAACTAAGGACAGGTCAAACAAGGGGGAAAGAAACTGATGGAGAAAATAAGAACAATGTTGGAAGGAAACTGGGAAGCCGCGGGAAAGAAAATCAAGAAGAAAATCACGCTTTTAATTAGAGCTATGACTCAGCGTTGAGGCAGCTTCTCTCTGTGACGGCCTCATCCTCACAACTCCGCACAGAGTCGAGCCATCAAAGACGTCCCGTAACCACTTTGTCTCATACAAACATGCAGCCACGG